TTTCACTATTTTAACCTTCACAGGAGCGATGGTGTCCAGAACTTTCAAAACACTAGAGGTGACAGAGTTAAACAGTTCATCTACAGTAGAATACGATGCATTCTCAAAGTTTATCATTCCCATAAATAGTTCACCCGTATTTTCATTTATGTGTCTTCTTCGTACAGTTGCAGAGTCCACTGGTGGTTTGTTAGTGAAACACATGTCAAAAAATATACAAAAATGATCCGAAAGCGCAACATCGACCACGTTTACATTATAAATGTTCGCCCCCTTTGTAACTAACAGGTCTAGAGTGTGCCCTTTGCTGTGGGTGGGGCCACTCACATGCTGAGTGAGACCAAAAGATTCAAGAAGAGAACTCAGCTCTTTAGCATTTCTGTCATCAACATTATCCACATGAATATTAAAATCACCTGTAATAACTAAACTATCAAAATCTGTGCATACAACTGAAAGCAACTCTGTAAAATTATCAATAAAACTGTGACATGACTGCGGTGGCTTGTATAGGACAACGAAAAGTATTGGAGGAGATTGTTTTTGTTGTATTTTAAAAGACACATATTCAAAAGACGGAAACTTCCCAAGAGACATTCTATGGGAGACAAAGTGGTCTCTGAAAATGGCAGCTAAGCCTCCTCCTTTTTTGTTTTCCCGTATTTCAGATTCAAATTTGAAATTTGGTGGTGATGCTTCTATTAAAACTGCATTTTCTGTATTTTGGTGAAGCCATGTTTCAGCCATGAACATAAGATCTAGATTATAAGAACAAATAAAATTATTGATTAAAAAAGACTTGTTACAAAGAGATCTGACATTTAGCATAGCAAGTTTCAAAGTTTCAGGATCAGCGGTTGTGGTCGGCTGATTCTTACACGGAACAAGAATTAGATTTTCCTGATTAGACTGATTAACTCCAGATGTTTTTCTGTAATGTATTCTTTGTGTTATCACTAAAGGAATGGCACAGGTGGCTTCATGACAGGGCCCCAGCCGGGTCTCTCCTCTAACTAGACTGCCAGTGGCTGCGAAGCAGAGACCCTGTGCATCCTAGTGTTTAGAGAAAAGAGGGGTAGGGGAAGGCGGGGGAGGAGGATGGAGAGGCGGGTGGTTCTTGGGAGTTGGACGGGGAGGGGTTGAAGGTGGATGGGTTTTTGGTGATGGGTTAGGGGAGGGGCAGGCTGAGTTGGGTGGTGGACGAGGGGGGAGTGGAGGTGGAGGGTTTCTTGGTGCTGAGTTAGGGGGGGGGAGGGGGGCTAAATGAGCAGGAGGGGGGGTGGAATACTTATGGGGTTAGAGGAGGGACGGGTGGATTTTGTGGGAGAATTTGAGTTGGACGCCCTAGGTGGCTTTGGAGGTACGTATGGGGAGTAGTTTTGAATGTTAGATAGGACTCTTGATCTGGCTACAGTGGGTGTGAGAGGAATAGTCTTCATCGCCGATCTTATCATGCCTGCAGAGTGTTCCGGTAAATCCAGTAGTGAAGGCGGGGATAGAAAACAAAGGGAAAGGTCGTCCTCATTTTCCCTAGATGGAGTGGATGTAGCGGGGGGGACCCAAGCCGGGTCCATGGAAGGTGATGAGGGAGTCTTTGGTGGAGACAGAGGTGGTTGAGGAACCCCCAGTACAGGCCTGACTGTAGCCTGGAGTAATGGGGGAAGCTTCACGGGAGCTGTAGGTGGGGAAGGTGCTGCTGAAGATGATGGAGCAGCCACTGCTGCTGCTGTATCCACTGCTGCTGCTGAAGATGATGGAGCAGCCACTGCTGCTGCTGAAGATGATGGAGCAGCCACTGCTGCTGCTGTATCCACTGCTGCTGCTGAAGATGATGGAGCAGCCACTGCTGCTGCTGAAGATGATGGAGCAGCCACTGCTGCGGCTGTATCCACTGCTGCTGCTGAAGATGATGGAGCAGCCACTGCTGCTGCTGTATCCACTGCTGCTGCTGAAGATGATGGAGCAGCCACTGCTGCGGCTGTATCCACTGCTGCTGGTGGTGCTGTATATGCTGATGGCGCTGATGAAGATGTGGCAGCTGCTGATGATGCTGGGGGTGGAGGCGTTGAGCTCTTTCGAAGCCGTGGAGGTGTTGAGTTCTTTTGGAACCTTGGAGGTGTTGAGTTCTTCTTGAATCGTGGAGGTGTGGAGTTCTTTTGAGGCGGTGGGGGTGCAGAGACCTCGGGAGTCGGTGGAGATGGTCGTGATGTCTGTGCCCTTTGCTTCTTCTTTCTCCCTTTCAACGGCTGCACGCGCTGCGCAGGCTGAGGTCTTAGGGCAGATGCAAAGTTATCCATCAGCACTTTTACTCCGTAGTTGTTCAGATGTGGGCCTTTTTCTTCAAAAAGCTCGTGCCTATTCCAGAACAGATTAAAGTTTTCAATGAAGCCAAGTCCTCTGCGTGAACACTCATTGAGTAGAAATGTATTTAGCTGATACAGACGGCTAAACTTCTCCATTTTTCCATCTATATTTGGCAGTGGGCCACTAAGAAAAATTGTTATGTCCATTTTCTTGAGGTCATCCAGTAACAGCGTTAAATCCATTCGTAACTTCTCGCTTGCCTTCTCATAGATATCTACCGCCCCCGTGTGGATCAATAATGTACGCACACCACTGTTCTCAGATAACACTCTAGGCAGAAGAGTTCTTATCTCAGCAACTTTAGCAGAGTGAACTGAGACAGTGAGCATGGACTCCATGTTTACATTTTTCACCGAGCCATCTCCGATAAGGATACAGTTTGTCCTTGGTGGAGGCGCTGCAGTTTTTAGCAGCTTTGTTGTTTCAGAAAGGGGTAAAAAGCGGTTTGAAGTCTTCAGAACATTTAGTTGTGGCCTTATTTCACTCCTATTGTCATTCTTAGCTTTGTCAACTTTGGGTTTGGCTCCACAATTGTTCCAATAATTCTCATTGTTGATTTTGGGAAAAGAAATGACGTCATAACTTACATTTCCAGTCTGTCCATTCATCCCATTTTCACTCATTGGAAGAGTCGGGTTAAGTCCCATTTCTGTTTCCACAATAGATATCCGTGTTTGAAGAGATTTAAGCTGATTTTCCAAAGCACAACAGCCACCGCAGACGCTTCTCCGTCTCTTCCGTCCCGACATGACTAATGTTGATAAATTCCACAAAGCTGAAGTGTGTAGAAGGAGTAATCCTCGTTTTGTAAATAAAATGATTAAAGGAGAAACAAAAAATGTAAATAAAATGATTCAGGGAGATTAAAAGGCGAAGCAAAAGCAGAGCAGAGAGGCACGACCGCTCTCTCGAGAAGCAGGAAGCAGGAATCCATCCTCTGCACGATCCATTAGCCCCAGAGGAGAGTCTCTCCGCGGCACCAGGAGAATCTCCTGCTGGGTAGAGGCAGAGCATCGACCTGCACTGAGCTCTGGGCTCTTTGGACGGAGCGACTTTTTGTGGGGAAGTGGAAGTGAGCAAGAGAAAACAAGAGAGAAGTCTTTCCACATGTGTCTGTCCAGGCCACGAGGACCGAGACGAGACCGGATTCTGACTTTAAAGAGTTCTACTGCAACAACACTGATAACTTTGGATTGAACATTTGTCAAAACGTTGTGTTTCTCTGGCTACAATCTCCAACATGTTTGGTTTTTGGGAGAACTGTGCCAAATGTGACATGTACATTTCTCCAGTGTGAGATCAATAAAGTCCATCATATCTTTTCTTAACATTTGAAGATATTCGGGTTAAACTTGGATAAAAGCCTTAATCTGTAAGTACAATGCAACTAAGTAAGTAAGTAATGTTTATTTATATAGCGCATTTTACAGACCAAGGTACAGACCCAAAGCACTTTACAATGTTCAACAACAATGTTGTTCCAATCATTCCACACACGGTGATGACGGAAGCGAGTCCAGAACACACTGGACCATCAGCTCCAGCACCATCCATTCACTCTCTCATCTACATTCATACCTTTTGTGCATGTTTTGGTGGTAGGGAAACCGGAGCACCTGGAGGAAACCTACACAGACATGGGGAGAACATGCAAACTCCTCTCAGAAAGACCCTGTTCCGACCGGGTCTTGCTGAGAAGTGCTATCCGCTCAGCCACCGTGCCGCCCTAACTCACTTTAGAATAAGGTTTTAATGAGTCTAGGGTCTGACTCTGGATTGAGGACATCGGGCTCTATGTGACAAGTCGCCATGTTTGAAAAAAGTCTATTCTCAGGTCTGAAATGACTGTGTACACTGCAGACTTTTTTGATCTCACACAGGAGAATTTGGCACAGATAGATTCACTCCGTGGTCTTTAGCAAGTGGCTCAGTTGGTAGAGCATTGGCCTTTGAGCCTGACGGTTGTGGGTTCGATCCCACCACGAGACCTTCTTCACTGACTCCCACTGATGTCTGCTGCCGTTGTGTCCTTGGGCAAGACACTTAACCCCACTTTGTCTGAAGCCCCCGCTGAAAAATCAAGGCAGCCTCCTGTGGACTCAGCACCTGCAGCAGGATCAGTGAGGGGCTGCTGCTCTGTGGACTGGGTGACCGCTTGGTTGCCAGAAAATGGAGACTGAGTGGTTTTTATCTTAATTTGCGCAAATTCTGACTGTGTTTAAACAAGATTCTCCAATGGGATAAAGCCAAACTGTTGCTCTATTTTAGAATTCCAAGGGAGACATTTCATGTATCCTTTTAAAACATGTTCCATTTGCTTTGTCCCATTGGAGAATCTTGTTTTAAGGCTCAGTCAGAATGTGCTCATATTAAGATACTTTTGAACCATTTTTGACTTATTTTCCTCACTTTTTGCAGTGTACCTGTGAACGTCAAACCCCCAAGCTGTGTGTTGACAACAGAGTTAGCATGAGGCTATGTCACCGCCATTTCTATGCAAGGAATTATGTATGTATCACCCAAACTGTTATAACACACATGCTTAGGATGGACTGTGAAACCTGAAGAAGAGCGCGACATGAGACCTTTAAAACACACAACTCCAACTCATCCTTAAGAAGCAGTGAGTGTGTTACCGTCGCAGGTGTGTGTGTTGCACAGCGCCTCCTCGGTGTGCAGACCGATGCAGATGTCTCCTCCGTTGGACGGTGTGGGGCTGTTGCAGGAGCGCGTCCTCTGGTAGTGTCCTCCTCCACAGCCCACGGAGCACGGAGACCAGGAGGACCAGCATGACCACGAGCCTTTCACTGCAACACACACACACACACACACACACACACACACACACACACACACACACACACACACACACACACACACACGATTCATTATATTCATTTAAATGTACTTTTGTTTAGCCCTAAAACGCAGCAGCAGTTCACCAACATTGATCACAGCACTACAAAAATGATAGAATATGAGGTAATCATTTCTTGAATCTTGTGTTTTTATGTTTTATTTGAGCACATTCCGACTGTTTTAAAACAAGACTTATTTTGCATCATTTTTTGCAGTGAGATTCAAACAGTTCAAACACAGGAAATGCAATGATAAAAAGAATATGTAGTCATTGGTCCATAAGGGGCAGAGACCAATGTCCATAATTGTCGTTAAATGTCCTGGATCATCACTGACCTTAGACCCCTCTGCAGCACTTTTAAATGTTCTGGAAACAGCAGTAAGTCCTAAGTGTCTCTGTTGTTTACTGTTTTACAATTGTTATTTTTTGCTGCAATACAGTGTCTATGGTTTTACACTGGTCCAGACCAGAGCAGAGAAGATTCATGGTCCAAAACAAGTGGATCAGGTGAAAATCCACAGGAGGAATGCTAACTTTTTGGAAAATGCGATTGAAGCATAGCCTTTTACTTTGGACCAGAACACGCGGTGCAGGACTGAAGCGGCTCCCGGCCCAAAAGCAAGATTATATCACTGCCATTGTAAGCAACAGGTGACAGTTCCTTACAGTGACAAACCAGCCTTCTCTGTGAAGACGCATCCAAGAACGGACAGATCAGAAGCCGTTCCGACGTATCTGCACGAGTCTGGTTTGTGGAGTTTAAAAAGAGGCTAAAATTTAAAGCCTGATCAGAATTCTTGAAACCCGCTGCTGCAGGAGTTTGATGATTCCGTCTCTCCCCAGAGCAGCCAGGTCTTAGCTCACTGATCTTCATTGGAATGTAGGAATTGATCCAACGGCAGAGATCCACAGACATCGTTCATTTCAATCTCCTCTCAGTCTCTGCTCACTCCTCATCTCATAACCACCCCTAACCCTCCTTTCTCTAGTTTTGTTTGAATAATCTCTGCGATCCTCGAACACCAGACCTGTACTTCGGACCTGAAACTCTATCATAATCTAACACACTATTTTCTATCATTCCCTCCTATGTATATTTCTTTAAATAAATCAAATATTCAACATTTGGGATAGCAAACTGTTGACATTGGTGACTGTCAATTAAATCAACATTAAAAACACGACAAGAGTTAATAAAACGACCCATAGGAGGCAGACGGGGCTGGGTTAGGGTTTTCAAATAAAATGGCAAAGGAAAGTTTCTCACCCATCATGTACTTTTCAGGACAGACGATGGGTGAGAAACCTCTTTGCTTTGACTGATCCCTGTACGACTGAGAGCTTACACAAACTTATCACATAACATTGCTGAGGGGTCCGACGCACAGATATCCTCGGTATTGACATTAAAGCCCCAACATTAGGTGAAGTTTACACATTAACTCTTTGTTGGACATTGTCTTACGATTTAGTTTCGCCAAACACCCCAACTGTGGACAATGTGGAAAACTATTAGCTTGGTTGCAACACCTCAATTGTCGATTTTCATATTCCAAAGTAGGTCGACCCAAAGCTGTCTAGATTGACTATATTCACATTCATTTAAATAATAACCTAAACATAAATTCCATTAGCACATGTTTAATCGGCAAACGTTAAAACTATAGACTGTAATTATCTCAGATGTAGTCACGCCTATCTCTGCCGGGGAAACTAATGTGCCACCACTTTTGCCTTCTGTTTTTGCATTAGCCCCATTCATTTAATGAGTGCATTCTGAAGTCCACAGCGGCTAAGCTAGACCGGTCCAAAAGAAAAATCCTCCCTTCAGCATTGACAGCATCTGGAACGTAGCTTTGGACCAAGAGCAACTTTTGGACCATCCTGTAAAGACGTTTTCGAGAGGAAAAAGACGCCATACAAAAGCATTGGGTAAATCTCTTTCCGGGTACACCCCCACCAGCCCGGGGTGAGATCGCAAACATGTCAGCGCACGTGCTCATGGACCTTTTAGAGCTGGGACCCGCCCCCACTGGTCCTGACCCAATCGCTGGACAGACCCTCTCCACAGACCCAGGCGTCCAGAGTGAAGTGAGGCCTTCACACCTGACGTTAAAGTTGGAGTGAGTCTGTGGGGGTGTTTTCTGACTGAAACTTGGAGCACAAACTCTCGTGTGTGTGTCGGACGTGACATAAAGGGCAGAGGCATTACCCGCTCCCCGCCGTGTTAATGAGAGACCTTTGAGCGACCTTTATCTGCAGAGACGGCTTGAGCTTTAACACACACCAGAGAAATGACAAGGACAAATGTGCGACATCAAGAGGCAATAACGGCTCAAGCGGAAGAAATACGCACCGGGAAAAGCATTCTGTGAGGAGACTTAGTTTGGTGGTTATGGATCCAAGCACAACAAAATAAAGTAAAATAAACAGGTAATATGGCCGTCAGTCAGAGCTATGAAGCTAAGCAGGGCATGGTTTGGTTAGTACAGCGATGGGAGACCACAGTGGGGCGGCTGCGGCTGTAAAGTGCCAAACTGTTGTTGTGTCCTGAGGCAAAATACACATTGTCTAGAAAGAGTCTGGTGTGTGTGTGTGTGTGTGTGTGTGTGTGTGTGTGTGTGTGTGTGAATGGTTGGTGGTGGTGGGAGGGGCTAATGGTACAGATCCTCCTATAGCTCCAGAGTTTATCAATGTATTATTATATTATCTATCATCTTAAATGATAGATCCTGTTGGATGTGTCCCCTTTATTTTGGAGTTCCCCAAGTCTTGTTTTAACCGTCTTCAGTTTGTGCAAAATGCTGGAGATAACTTTTTAACAAACACACCCAGACGTGAACACATCACCCCAGTCCTTTATTCCCTACACTGGCTCCCAGTTTCTTTTCGAGTTGATTTTAAAATGTTACTCCTTGTTTTTAAAGCCCTCAATGGTCTCACATTCTGCACTTGTCCAAACGTTTGTCTGTTCGTGACTCGGGCAGAAAATTGAGGTCATCGACTCCTGGAAGAACCTAGGATCAGGACCAAACACTTCGGGAGACCGGACCTTCTCAGTCCTGGACCCAGACTCTGGAACAAGCTGCCCCCTGACATGTCTGTCCTCACTGATTTTGGCCTTTTTAAATCAAGGCTCAAAACATATTATTCAGACTGGCTTTCAACATTTTTAACACTCATTAGCCCGGTGACACTCTTTTAAATGCTTTTATTGTTTGAATGGAAAAATGTTTTAATGGATTTTATGTCATTTTAATGTAAAGCACTTTGGTCGCCTTGAGTATTGTAAAGGGCTCTATAAACAAGATAAAATACTGAAAACAAGCTTAAAAAATTCACTGCTCAGACTCTTTTTCTCTAATAATTATATTAAGTATTTTTTATCTTAAAACTAGTAAAATGATCTGATATATCAATAATAAACTTTTTTTTTGTAAATAAATCTCACCCTGAGTGTACTTTTTTCAGTTGTATCCACCTACACTGCCAAAAGTTGCACAAATTGCTAAAATTTGGCTTAAAGTATCATAATTTGAGCACATTCTGACTGAGCCTTAAAACCAGATTTACTAATGGGACAAAGCAAAATTATCTTATTGTAAAAAATATTCAAGAAATGTCTCTCTTTGGAATGAGACAATTAAACAACAGTTCTCAAAATAAGTCTGAAGATCTTAAATCAGTCAAAATGAAAGTAAGATTTTTAAACATCTTGATTTAATTCTTTATTACCTCATATTTGGCCACTTTTTGCAGTGTATGTTGCACCTCCATGGTCCTCACCTGGACAGGCCTGGACGTTGCAGTCCTGGTACTCCACCGGTGACCCCCTGCAGCCTGCGGGGGCGCTCTTCCCCTCGGCTCCGCTGCAGCTGCGTCTCCTGGTGCGGTACCCTCTGCTGCAGCTCTGTGTGCAGGAGGACCAGGAGTCCCAGGAGGTCCAGATGTTACCAGCAACACGCACCACCGGGGCTTTCAGCAGCTCCTCCACCAGAGCTGAGGGAGAGAGGAGGAGACACAAGGAGACACATGAGAACCAGAGGTGAGGGAGAGAGGAGGAGACACATCATGAGAACCAGAGGTGAGGGAGAGAGGAGGAGAAACAAGGTTCTCCGCTCTGAACGAAGACTGTGATCTGTCTGTGCTGAAGGTTCTTTATAAATCCAGCCCTTCAAATAATCAACAATTCTTCTGTCCCCTGGAAAAGCCATGTTCCAGCATCTTGCCTCAGAAGACATCATTGGCTGAGATGCAGGACTTCTGGACATGCTAGCAAGCTAACATGCTAACAGCTCCTTTCCCAAATCTGTATCAGTCTGAATGATATTGCACTTGTATTTACTGCTATTATATTTTATTAGTTGTATTGTATTTTTTAGCTTCTCTGCCCATCACAAGGGAAAAGGGGTTGTGGAGAAGAAAAAGGGGGACAAGAAGTAAAGTGTGATCCATGCCAACCAGTGCAAAAATGTAAACACAATGTAACACTTGAATTAAAAAATGATAGCAAAAAAAATAAATTGGACAAAATGGACACGGAGAATCTTTGGAGAATCTGAAGAAGAAGATGAAGAGTCCTCTCACTGTCGGTCTCGCAGGTGGCCGTCCCGTCGTTGGGGCAGAAGCGAGTCTCCAGTTTCCTCCTCCCGATCTGCAGCTCGTGCGGGTCGCTGAGGTGGGCCCTGCACATGTAGCGGACCCTCTGCTCCTGCCGCGCCCCGCCCTGGGTCACGTTCACCGGCATCCACGGCGTCCACGGCGTGTTCCGCTTCACCTCCGGACACGCCTCCAGGTTACAGGCTTTGTACTCCTGCAAGAACAAGGAAACCATGTAGGTTTGATGTCTCTGGTCTCTCACTTTCTGGTTTCTCTACTGTCTCTTTTGTCTCTCTCTCTCTGCTCTTGCTTTGGTCTCTCTCTCTGGTCTATCTCTGGTCTCCCTCTCTCTAGACTCTCTCTGGTCTCTCCCTGGTCTCTCTCTCTCTGGTCTCTCTCTGGTCTCTCTCTGGTCTCTCTCTGGTCTCTCTCTGGTCTCTCTCTGGTCTCTCTCTGGTCTCTCTCTGGTCTCTCTCTGGTCTCTCTCTGGTCTCTCTCTGGTCTCTGGGTCTCTCTGGTCTCTCTCTGGCTTCTCTCTGGTCTCTCTCGCCTCAGCAGTCGTGAGTTCAGGTGGTTAGAAAGGTGTGCATGTGCGGAAGTGTGTGTGTGTGTGTGTGCGTATGTGTGTGTGTCTATGTGTATGTGTGTGTGTGAGTGTCTGTGTCTGTATGTGTGTGTGCGTATGTATGTGTATGTGTGTATGTATGTGTATGTGTATGTGCATTTGTGTATGTGCATGTGTGTATGTGTATGTGTGTGTGTGAGTGTCTGTATGTGTGTGTGTGTATGTATGTGTATGTGTATGTGCATTTGTGTATGTGCATGTGTGTATGTGTATGTGTGTGTGTGAGTGTCTGTATGTGTGTGTGTGTATGTATGTGTATGTGTATGTGCATTTGTGTATGTGCATGTGTGTATGTGTGTGTGTGTGCGTGTGTGTTACCAGGGCACATCCAGGACAGGTGTTTCCGTTCTCACAGCTGCGGACTCTGGAGTGAACGCCTCCTCCACATTCTGAGCTGCACTTTGTCCACGAGCCCCACGGAGACCAGAAGATGGGCTGAGGACACGCCACGCCCTCGTTACAGAACCTGCGGCACCAGGAGCAACACACAGGTCACATTACACAACATACTGAACCATAATGTACCACACTGGACCATACTGTACCATACTGAACCATACTGTATATATCAAGTCTAATGCAGCAGAACAAGGATCAGAATTCTTTTTAGATTTCTTTTATACATAAGACATTTATCTACCTTTATGATTCCGCCCTTTAGGGACCGATGGCTCTGTGTTTGTTTGTTATTATTGCATTTCTTGAGTCAAAACTTTTTTTATACTTAATGTGTGCGCAACGACGATACTGAAGGTGTATCTTATCTTGATTCTCGCAGCTGAGAACTTTGTCAAGCCTTCCAAGACGACCACATGAAATGTTTATAGTGTTCATATTTTTGATATTGTCTTTGTCTGGATATGAGCTGTGGGAAACTGCAGCTTGTTTAAGCAACCGTGTTAGGGAAAAGGAGGAGAATGCCCATATATGGTAAGATTAGATTAGATCGTCAATACAGGTTCAGAACAATGCAACGAAATGCAGTTGAGCCTCTAACCAGTAGTGCAATCGTATTTTAATAGGATATTTTTTACAACCAAGCCCCGGCAATCCAAGATGGCGCTGTATTCAAATGAATGGTTGTGCTCAGTGGCCCATTGTGCCAGCATGGCCGCCAAAAAGATTAGCGGAAGTTGGCGGAAACTCGCAAAGATCTATGGGAAACTCGCCTGTATTTGGGCATCGTCTGGTCCTCCCGGTTCTGTGCAGTGGATGATCTCCCATAATGCGTTGCGTCAAACACGCGTGTGTGGGTCTCACACCGGGTCTCACGCACGTGCACAGAGGGGCTCGGCCGCGCTCTGACCAATCAGAGCAGTTCATCAGAGCGGGAGTTAGAGCGAGAGCCAGACGAGCAGAGTTTGTGGCACTAAAGTGTGGATTTAAAGAAAAACGAAGGATTTAAGAAGAAAAAAAGTTCAGGATGACAAGGGACACTAAAATCCCCACAAAATCCGACCTTTATAAAATCTGTAGGTTCTCTGACAGCTGAGGTTGAGCTGTTTTAATATGCATTGAGATCTGTGGGGAAAATTTCTGGGTAGCCCACGTGAATTTAGTCTGGTTCAGTCTGCAGTACCGCGAGAATCCCCTGAGCACATGAGTTATTCAGCTACAAGCTAGTAATACCCTATCCAGTTATTATAATAGATCCATGTTTACATCACAGATAAATTTAAGGAAATTGGCTCCAGATATCTTATGTTCAAACCATCCTCTTTCCTGGATTAAGGCAAACACATAGACAGTAAATATTAACAGACATAGTCACGTCTATTTCCGCCTTTGAAACTACTTTTGCACTTTTGCCTTCTGTGGGACTTTTTCAAAATGGCCGAGAGTGCCTTCTGAAGTCCACAGCGGCTAAACTAGACTGGTCCAAAAAAAAAAAAAAAAAACTCCCCTCAGCATCTACTGCATCTGGAACATTTGGGCCAAGAGCAACTTTTGGAGCATACTGTAAAGACGTTTTCTAGAGGTAAGAAGACGCCAAACAAAAGCATTGGGTAATTCTCTTTCCGGGTACACCCCCAAAGGCCCCGAGTGAGATTGGAAACATGTCAGCGCACGTGCTCATGGACCTTTTGGAGCCGGGACCGCCCACACTGGTCTAACACTATGATGACGTCACATTCACTCAGTCCACTCCTAATACACACCGAACACTGTTATTCAGTAACTTTAGATTTGAGTAACTTTAGATTTGAGTTACTCTAGCTCCCGAGGTCCAGTTGAAATCCTGCAGAGGGTTGTACGTGTGTCTCACCTCTCGTCTCGGCTCGGTCCCACACAGACTCGTCCTCCGTGTCGCGGTGACGGGTTGTTGCACGATCGCTGTCTGAGCTCGAAACCGGTACCACACGTCGTACTGCACTGTCCCCATGACGACCAGGGAGTCCAGCCGCCGTTCCTGCAGCAGAGGAAGCAGAAGTGTGAAACCAGCTCCCATTGGGGATCGTTGCTGTGTGTCCTTGGGCAAGACACCCGCTCTCAGGGTCCTCGTACCCTGGTTCAAGAATGTGTGTGTGCGTGTGTGTGTGCGTGTGTGTGTGTGTGCGTGTGTGTGTGTGCGTGTGTGTGTGTGTGTGTGTGTGTGTGTGCGTGTGTGATTGGTGCCCTTGATGTGAAGCGGTTTGAGTGTCTTGCAAAAAGGTTAAAAAACACTGAATATATGTGACCAATTTTTAACTATTTAGGAAACTACAAATACCAATTTCGTGTAATTTATTTTCAACTTTGAGAGTTTGAGATATTCTGGGAATTTTCAAAGATGGAAACTTGCCGTGGGGATTTATGGGAATTAACGGGAACACATGGGAATGAATTAGGATTTCTCAAAATCGAAGGTTGTAGCATCATCTTAACTAAAACAAGCAGATATTTAAAATACACTTGAGTATTCATGTCATTCTTGTGTAACAGGCCCACAACACACTGCTGCTGAGACCACGCCCCCTACTCCGCCAAAATAAAATGATTAAAAAACTACAAACAAATCTGTTGAAACATTTTGCATGGATTTTCTTGCTTGGACATGATACAAAAATTGGCTGGGACTCTGATTAGCACAGGGACTGGCCTTCTGCTGGGACTCTGAGGAGCACAGGGACTGGCCTCCTGCTGGGACTCTGAGGAGCACAGGGACTGGCCTCCTGCTGGGACTCTGAGGGGCACAGGGACTGGCCTCCTGCTGGGACTCTGAGGAGCACAGGGACTGGCCTCCTGCTGGGACTCTGAGGAGCACAGGGACTGGCCTCCTGCTGGGACTCTGAGGAGCACAGGGACTGGCCTCCTGCTGGGACTCTGAGGGGCACAGGGACTGGCCTCCTGCTGGGACTCTGAGGAGCACAGGGACTGGCCTCCTGCTGGGACTCTGAGGAGCACAGGGACTGGCCTCCTGCTGGGACTCTGAGGAGCACAGGGACTGGCCTCCTGCTGTTGCCCAGTTAGTTTTTCATTTGGAATACTCAAAAAAGTCAATTCATTGTGAATTTTCCACCGCTTTGAAACTCTAGTTACAAATGAAACGATAATGAAACAACTATAATAGTATGATTTGAGTACTTTCTTTGTTCAATACCAATTCTACAATTGTACAAACTAAAATATCACCAAATACTATTATTGCCCAAGTCAGAGCTGAACATAACGAGCAGACATTGATTACATATTTTATATTTCTTCTGTTGCAGCCAAGTAACATTTAAAACAAAAAACACCCCCATTCACGTGGAGCATGTTTCAATGTGTCAGAATGTGTGAGCTGTGCTGGAATTTAAAGGAGCTGTCTGTAAAAATGTGGCCAAAAGTGGTACTGCAGCCTCTCCCACTCTCCCTGACTGAGGTTGCCAGATATGCAGATGAATCCAGCTGGGACCATAACAGCTGAATAGAGTTTTGTCAACAATAAATCTATAACCAACACCAACTGCTTGATTCTCTGATCAGTGTTGGCGAGTCGAGAACTTTTTGAAGTCCTCAGAGAAAACTAATGCTCTGTTTTAGGGCCATACAAAAATAAATGAAATTGAATTGAGATCCGTGTGGGGCCCTGTCACCTGGAGCAGTTGGAGACCTCGATGGTGGCGCCCTCGCAGCTCCGCCCCCCACAGCGAGGGGTGGGGCTGTCACATGACCTGGAGCGACACAGACAGGAAGTCACGCCCTCCACGCCGTCGTCGTTGTTGCATGGTTGCCACGGCGCCCACTCTCCAAAGCCGCCGTTGGTCGTCTGGTTTCGCAGCTGAAATTTACAAAAGTTTGGTTTATGAGATGCTACTTTTTGCATCTCTGGTCTCTCTCTGTCTCTCTCTGCTCTCTCTTGCTGGTCTCTCTCTCTCTGGTCTCTCTGGTCTCTGTCTCTCTCTGCTCTCTCTTGCTGGTCTCTGTCTCTCTGGTCGCTCTCTGGTCTCCCTCTGCTCTCTCTCTCTGGTCTCTCTCTCTGGTCTCTCTCTCTAGTCTCTCTCTCTGGTCTCTCTCTCTGGTCTCTCTCTCTGGTCTCTCTCTCTGGTCTCTCTCTCTGGCCTCTCTCTCTGGCCTCTCTCTCTGGTCTCTCTCTCTGGTCTCTTTCTCTGGTCTCTCTCTCTGGTCTCTCTCTCTGGTCTCTCTCTCTGGTCTCTCTCTCTGGTCTCTCTCTCTGGTCTCTCTTGCTGGTCTCTCTCTCTGGTCTCTCTCTCTGGTCTCTCTCTCTGCTCTCTCTCTCTGGTCTCTCTCTCTGGTCTCTCTCTCTGGTCTCTCTCTCTGGTCTCTCTCTCTGGTCTCTCTCTCTGCTCTCTCTCTCTGGTCTCTCTCTCTGGTCTCTCTCTCTGGTCTCTCTCTCTGGTCTCTCTCTCTGGTCTCTCTCTCTGGTCTCTCTCTCTGGTCTCTCTCTCTCTCTGGTCTCTCTCTCTCTGGTCTCTCTCTCTGGTCTCTCTCTCTGGTCTCTCTCTCTGGTCTCTCTCTCTGGTCTCTCTCTGGTCTCTCTGGTCTCTCTCTCTGGTCTCTCTCTCTGGTCTCTCTCTCTGGTCTCTCTTTCTGGTCTCTCTCTCTGGTCTCTCTCTCTGGTCTCTCTCTCTCTGGTCTCTCTCTCTGGTCTCTCTTGCTGGTCTCTCTCTCTGGTCTCTCTCTCTGGCCTCTCTCTCTGGTCTCTCTCTCTGGTCTCTCTCTGGTCTCTCTCTCTGGTCTCTCTCTCTGGTCTCTCTCTCTGGTCTCTCTCTCTGGTCTCTCTCTCTGGTCTCTCTCTCTGGTCTCTCTCTCTGGTCTCTCTCTGGTCTCTCTCTCTGGTCTCTCTCTCTGGTCTCTCTCTCTGGTCTCTCTCTGGTCTCTCTCTCTGGTCTCTCTCTCTGGTCTCTCTCTCTGGTCTCTCTC